GGAGGGGGTCTCGCTGTAATCATATTGGCAACCTGTAGCACTACTTCATGCCGGGCTCGATCGCGAAAGCCAACAAGTAAACGATAAAAAGCAAGACCACGTGACTCACTTCAGCAGATTTCCTCGAAGTTTAGTGGGAAAAGACACATGTATTGGTCCCAGGAGCACTATGAATGCACGGGGAAGTTGCGCTTGAAGGATATCTATGGCCTCCATAAGTGCGTCAATATTCGGCGGAGTGCATCTGGAGCATACCTGAACATATAACGTAGAACTCGGCACTGTCTACAGCGTAAAATGTACGCAGCCAGTTACGAGAGCAGATCATTGCTTACCTCTTCTGTTCCAATAGTGACAATAACCATAACCCAATGCTGAGTATAGTCAACTTCCACCAAATTTTTGAGACGTCGAACGAGTTCTTTCGCCTGAAAAGTGAATCAGAGTGACTCCGACGTCAACAGCTATCCAAAGTACTGGAGATATTCAAGAAGGGCTCGCAAGCAAGAACTATACCTGCTCTGGCATCTTGTCTGTAGTCGCACCACTCTCTGCGACGCTGAGCTGGGTTTCTGGAAGTTGATCCCTGGTGCCCATACCATGCGAAACTCCAATCAAATGATTATTGAATTCACGAAGAATATCTAAGGTCGTGTTGGTAATAAAACATTTGCTTTCTTTAAGAAAAACACTCACTCGGTATAGTAACCAAACCATCTATGGTCGCATCGCCACCACTTGGGAAGGCGGCACCTCGAAATTCTATAGTTGTTTTCGGCCACAAACCCATTCCCGTCTGAAATAGCACTTGTGAAATCAAAATTGACTACAAGCACTACACAACATCAACGTAGCACAACAGAGCCAGGCAAGGTTCTTTGAATCATAACCAAACAAAAATGGTTGCATAGGAAAAGTTGACGACATAAAAGCCTGTCGACGATCACAGAGTCATTCCTTGAGAAGCATTAGCAAATGCATTGCTAATAATAACATTGGAACCTACTAGCGAGGTAAGGCTGACGACAATGCTTGAAAACCATCAATAACTTGGTTGGAATGGATCGGAACAAGAAAATTCACCATCGGTCAATAATCAGTTAAAAAAGTTGGAAAGAAATCTTCCGTACCGCTAAGGCATCTCCCATTGAAGCTATGATGGCTATGTCCTCCGGACTAAGATCACCGATAGATGTGCCCGTTTTGAGATCGCTTTTGATTTTAGGACATGCAAATGTTTTCCTGCAATCAAACATTATTTGGAGAATTGCAAGATGATAACAAGTTTTTACTCCGCATGAAATCATCCCTCCTATGATAATAATAATATTTCAAAGGCCTGAACGTATAATAGTAGAAAATTTATGATATTCTTCACACAAAAGCTTTAGATTATAAGAACAGATTATTTTTGGAACAATGAGGAAGACCTCGTGATC